TAAGTCTTAATTTAAACAAATCAAAGCATGTGTATATGTGTATACCTGAAAATATGAAACAGAATTTTCTCAGTACAGTTCTCATGCAGCACTCTGTATTAGAGTGGCTCAGATCTACATTCAGATATCTACATCAGCTCCTACTGCAAGTAGAAATTTCATATGTTTAACTTGGCCTAGAATTTTTACTTAAAAAGACTGTTATATTTTATACGTTTTAATGATTTATTTAACCTGCCCTGGACTGTATGACAGGCAGCCAGAGCAATCTCATTAGGTCTTTTACACATTAGAACTGCCCGAGGTCAGTGTTCAATATGATGTTCAATAGATATAAGCATGTACAACATAATTTGCTCATGCAGTCTCTCATAACACCTGTAAGGAACACCCACTTCTTAGAGTTAACCTTTGTTTTTAGTGCGTTGTTTTTAGTGGCTAAAAATGTATTCCAGCTTCTACAATATCATGGGATAATTTTTAAGTAAGAGTTTGAAACAATTAATATTGAACTGATTTTTGGGGTAGATGCATGACTTTTGTGAGAAAAAAATACCTGTTTCTTGTTTAATTTTTCCTAGATACTTTATTGCATGTCCTTTCATTTTCTGAAATTAATCCTTATGATAAATGGTGATTTCCTCCATACCACCCAGTCCCTTTTTGAACATGCTAGAGACTTAGAGAGTTCAGGTTTGCATTTGGAGGCAGCATATTGTATTGGGTTTTGGCTGTGTCTGTGACAGTTACAGTTCTGCATCTCTGTGGAACACCTATGATCCCTTTGCATCAGTAACAGTGAATGTGGGAGTGAGACAAAGACCATTATTACAGTGGATACCCTCTTTGTCAATAAAAAAGTTACAGCTACACAACAGTATTTAATTCTAGCTTTCTACTGTTATAATGACTACAAAGACTTCAGGGCAAACACGAATGTGACCTGGAAGCTGACCATCTGAGGTAATGGGAAAGTGGGAGAGGTCTCTGTTAACCAAAGCTGCAGCTGTGTGATTTTGTAGGCACCATCAGTTTGTGCTGTTACCTTTCTGAACATCTCTATGTGCTATTATTCACCTTGCACATGATGATGTGCTGCTTTACTGTGCCTAGGAATTCAATCCTGATATCTGCTCTTGACAGTCTCATGTTCAGTTTGGATTTTAGACCAGCTGAACTAGCTCAATGTTAAGAGCTGAAAGTAAGACAAGCATGTGGATTGTGTTTGCAGCTAGCAATAAAAGAGGGTTCATATATCACTTAAAAAGTTGCAAGTCCTGCATATGCTTCTCATCCTCAGGCAGTGGATGAGGGAAGTGTTGCATGAGCCAAGACATCAGGTCTAGGTTTCAGTTTCTGCTAGAATATGACATTTGTGCGATCATCTTAAGTGTTTTGCCAATTATCAGGCCTAGCATAAAGGACACAGCCAGCATAAAGAAGAACCAATAACCAAACCATGTTTGATACAAAAGGGTCAGTACATGGGTGAGCACTGGGGGTACAAACAAGTCAGTCAGATGATACATAATCGACATCAATCCCACTGACCCCAACAATGACACCACATGACCAACAATGGGTGGAATAAATGGTGACATGCAGTCTCCCATAGAAGGGATGGGAGACAACCGAGTCAACAAACCAAACACATAAGACCAAGGAAGCCACACACTGAATCTCTACACAGCCCGTGTTTACAAAAGCCAGACCTGACTGGAGCCCAGTCCCAGGGAGGCGGGAGGTCCTTCCCCAACAGGGAACTCTGCACAGGGCATCCCCCTCACAGACAGACACTGCCCCTCCTGCAAGGGGTCCCAGCTTTATCCCTCTGTGGGACACCTGACCTTGGGTTACTTACTGCAGGACCCCTGGGGCTCCTTTACCCCATGGCTCTGTCTGCCAGGCCACCGCACCCTGGAGGGAAGCCTAAAGGCAAACTCACCCCCCCTTTGTGAAGGGCTGTGGGAATCACCCACATGTCAACCTTAATTTGGGGCTTGGGGTTGAAACCCCAGCATTTCAATAAAGCAGGTGCTTCGTCTGCTGCTGGAGGCACAAGCATGTATTACTGTCTTTCAAACATAAGATGGCAGCAAAGCCCCTTCTGGTTTTGACGTTGCCAGCAGTACTAGCTGTTCACCTGTACAACTGTGGTAGTAATTTTCTCTGGGGATTCCAGTTTCTCATGCTGTCTGTGTGGTTGGGATTCAACCAAGATAGTAATTCCCCCATATAAATAGGAAATAAAGAATTGTTTGGACAACGTGTAGTTGTCCAGTGTGGTGATCCCAGTAATGGTTGCAGACTGCTACTCTTTGTCAGGCATGTCCAGCTGGGTAGTTCATAGCTTGTTGGCAGAGCCACATTAAACAATAAAAGTTATGAACTCATCTATTAAAAACTGGATGGTGACTGGGCATGGAAATTTTAAAGATTGGCAATAATCTGTGGATATTTGGAAATGCTTACTTTATTGATTGAAACATGTAAGCAGTCATCAGAAAGTCTGTCTCTTCCCCCATTTTTGCTGTAGGTTCACTGTAGTAGGAGAGATCACCTCATGTGCTCCTTTTTCACATCTGTGAAATGCAGTGATTCCCTTCAAGCTTTTGGTTGTTACAAGGTTGAGCCAATCTTTGTAAATGCTTAAACTGGTTAAACTGGGTGTAATGCAGAAATACAATTGTTGAGATGTCATTTAGGTGGTTTTATCTATTTGTGTTATAAAATACTTGCCAATTTTTTTCACTTCCATGAAAACGAAATTATATCCTGCCTTGGCCAGAGTTAATCATTTTAGTGGCAGTATTTCTTTTTCTAACACACAGGAATGATTTTGAAGGATGAAATGTAGAAAACCAGCAATGATGCCTAATTCGTATTGACTTTTAGTTTGAGTTAGGTAAGTAGATATGGTTAGGCAATCTTTTTTTTAAAAAAAAAAATCACCAGATTTATTTTTTGCCTATCATGTTTGAGTGCATTTCTTCCTTTAAACCAAGGGAAAAGGTATCTTTTTCCCATTAAAGATGAACATAAGGGTATCTTTTTCCCATTAAAGATGAACATAAGATATTTTGAGAGGTTTTTTTTAATGTTAAGGATAAACCTGAAATTCTGTGTTGTAAATTTGGACTCCAGACAGTCTTTTCATGGCTTAATGACACATTCATACTGGCACCTCTGGTATGGCATGGGCACCTTAAGCCTCAGGAAGCTTATGGCTGGCTGGGAAAAGTGTTAGCACTACTAGTTTGTACTTTTTCCTAGCTGATAGGTTAACACAAAACCTACCATCTGGGATCTGCCATGGAGGTTTCATTGAAGGAATCAAGGAGCAGGGCTGTATTTTGATACTTGCTGATACTACCCAACTCATCTGACTGTCACTGCCAGAGGATCTTTGGTTAAGAGCAATGAGCATTTCATGTGGCCAGCTGTCTGCAGCTGCCAGACCTCTGTCCACTGATTTCAAGGCAGAGAAAAAGCTGTGTGCTGTGTTAGATCCCTGTATTAGGTGGTTTGAATGTGATCTGGAAAGCTTAAACTGCCCTTTTGCTCTCTAGATTTGAGTCTTGCAGTGAGCCTTCCAGTTACTGTAGTTCCTTCCCTTATGCTCTGCAAAGCTAATAGTCTCCAGATGTGGTAAACTGGAATCCCTTTTTCTTTCCTCTTTTTTTCTTCCTAAAATCTGTGGAAACTCTGCCTTGTTTCCTCTCCAGTTGTTTACACAAGTTGGAGGAACTGCTGGTGCTCTCCAGTGTGCCAGGGGTTTGTGCCTTGTCCAATGTGGACCACAGTGGACAAACTAGGTCTGCTGATGGATTCCAAAATCTGACAGCAAAGTAGATTTGAGTCAGCATCTGAGGGGCAAGAGCCAGAACCAGATTAACGTAGCCTCCATGCTATTACACGCCAGTTTTCAAGCATCGAGGTGCTAATTCCATCTTTGTTGTAAATGCAGAATGACAGGTGCAGTGTGGCTCGCCATAGCATCATGCTCTCGGATGGCTTTTCAGGCCTTGAACTATGGGAGGCCCAGCAATGCTAAATTTTAAATGCCTTAGCCTATTACTTGCCTCATTTGCTTTTCCCTCTCAGACTCTCTATAATTAGACATGACTTGGTCACTGCTGTACCACCGATCTTAAAAGGAGTTTAAAAAAAAAGGCAGTTCTGCCATGCAGCCCTATAGCCATGCTGGATGACAGAGGGGGAGGACTGTGGGATTTTGTAGTGCTTACATAAGGGTTTAGAGGGTCTCTGCAGCCTCCTCAGAAGAATTTTTTTCCTTCTTGTGTTGTGGAAGACTTGTGGCTGTCAAACATAAGAGAAATATGCTGTGTCCATCAATAGGATTGTACCTGGTAGTTTATGTCATTTTGTTAGGTGTCTGCTTTATAACACCAGTTATGAAGCAAATCTCCACCTGACTGCAAAAAGTTTTTAACTGCCATTGCTCATATATTTGAGGGGTGTGGCCAGAAAAGTGGCAACCTTCCTCATGGTTTTCTGCCCACCGTTTAGTACAGAAGATTTCAAGCTGGCAGAGGACTGTGGTGTCCCTCCCCCTTGCCCAGTTAGTAGGGGAGGATCATTTTGGGTACTGCTTAGAGATCCTCCCTCCACAGAAATAAATCATCGTTACAAAGTCTAGCAGGTTAGAGACGTTTGTTATGAACCTAAATGCCTGTTGAGTGGTCGTTTTTAAATATTTCATTTGATTTCACTGTTAGATCTGTTAAAAATTGTCCAAAATCATATCTTCAGGATGTACACATGTACAAAATAAAAGATTATGTAAACAATGGTCCAGCTCACGTGGGCTCTGGAAGAGCATCAGCAGCTTGGACTGTCATCCCAGCTCAACCACATTGTATTTGCTGTCACCAGTCTGTAGTGGTTCAGTGATAAAATGAGTAATAGGTGCCCAGCTGTAGGATATAGACTTCTGGCCATGCTTATATGACATCAGTATGTGGTGTTTTTTCCTCTAGTTTGAAATCAGGCAGCTGAGGGCCCACCTTGCTCAGCAGGATTTGGACCTGGCTGCAGAGAGAGAGGCTGCACTACAGGTCCCACATGTACTGAACAAACAGAGCAGCAACCGGTACAAGGTGGTAGCAACTGAAGATTCAGATGATGAAGCCACTGAGAACATCACTGAGTTGCGACCTCCACGAGGTGAGTGCTGCCTGTGTGCTGCTACCTGCTGGCACAGCTGATCCCTTACATGGAGTTACTGAACCCACGAAATACTTCCACTCTACCAGTGAATTGGTTACTTTCCCTGGAGACTGCATTTTCCCATTTTTGCAGAGAGTCTGCTTTGAAGTGGCAGGAGCTGTTGTATTTATGAACAGATTCTGAAGGGAGCCAATAAAATGACTCAGGAAGAAAATGACTATGATGTGCCTTCCCAGTGTCCTCATGATTATATCCATCAAACAGTAAAGAAGCAGCAGCCAAATCAGAATTGGCAAAAGGATAATCACTTAGAGGTAAAAGCAGGGAAATTGAGAACATTTCAAAACAGTTTTGGTCTTTGTCCACTTGCATTTCTGTGGTTTAGAGAGGACTCATGCATTAACTGTGAAGTTTGCCTTACCTAGAGGCTGTGCTCTCACCAGATTGCTTAAAACTGCCAGTGCTGGACAGCCCTGCTGTGCTTGGGCGGGCAGCTCTGGTGCCAGAAGAGGGGTGATGCGCTGTGTAGGCAGCTCCTGCTCAGATGTCCAAGTGCCACGTGACTATGGTGAAGAGCAGTCCATATCTGTGAGCTGTCTGTCGGGCAGGTCTGTGGTTCAGGGGAATATCAACAGTTATATTTACTTGGATCCATCTTTATTACACAAGTGCTAGACTGGAGGTGTTTTTGGAAAAGATGGAGCTCTCTTTCCTGTGATCCCCCAACCCTTAAAATGGAGTACAGAATGTGTCCTGATCTCAGTAACATTTAATATAATTCTCCAGAGGAGACAGCACTTTCTACCTTAGTGATATGTTAGTCTTCTGTGTACATCTTAGCTTGATTATTTTAGTAGATGAGCAGTATGTGAATATGTCTGAATTAGAGGTTTGCATGGTATCTTTATTTTGGTCAAACTCCTTAGAATTCAAGACACAGAAGTATTTTAATCAATAGGCTTAAGAGAAACAGCTCACCAGACATTTTCAAATGATAATCCATTCCACTCTCTACATAGTCATGAAAGCATGTAGAAATTGTTTTTGTTTTTTCCTCTTTATTATATTGAAGCGCTAGCCACAGTTCAGCCATTAATTATTCCTGATTTGAAATTGTATTTAAAAGCAGTTGAGCAGACTGCCCCCTAAAATGCATTTCTGCCTTTTTTTGTAGTATTTCAGAGGTTTCCCCAGTGGATATATTATAATTTATGCATGTGTTCCTTGAGGGTTACATTTGAAACTGGAGAGTGTTGTGCACATTATAAGGAGGCTTGCTGAAATTTTAGAGCTGTGGAGATTCATCTAAAAATTCTTCTTTCCAAGGTATTTATTCAAACATCCAGGTTAACATGATCACTTACTGTTTGTGTCTACCTGTAAAATGCTGGCCACATGTGCATCAAAGTAGACACACAATCTTCAGGATTGATTTCTACTTTCAGTTAGGTTACCTCATTAGAGAGCTTCGTGCTTTTCACTGAAAAAAGATGCTCAGCTAACAAGAAAATATAAGAAAGCATGTTATGTATCAGGTAAGTTTTGTTTTATTTAAACATTCATATTGAGTATACAGAATTAATTTCTGATTCCGAGAAATCATCTAAAAATACCGGAAGAAATATTTTTTGTGCATTGTATCATATATTACACAAAAAACCTTTGTAGATGCATTGAGTGCTTGTCTTCAGAAGCTAAATTCGGGTTACTCTATTTTAACAATCGTCCTTTATATTGAATGAGGCAGGAGTTGGACAGAAAAAAATTGCCTGTGCCTTATAGCAAGGGACACCCATCTGTGGTAGTGTACATCACAGTGGACTGCCAACAAGGGGCCCAATTAAGATTGCATGGGGAAACCACAAGCCAAGCAATAACGTTCAGTACTTTATTTCACAATCCAGGTAACAGTCAATTGAGGAGGAGGATTTTGCATGTAATTTCCTGGATTAGTTTGCAAAGGAAAGAAGTAGTAAGCTACCAAGGCTTTGAATCCTGCACTAGCAGTGCTTAGATTACCGCAGGACTTCAGAACCTCAACTAACAGCTTGAGAAGGCAGCTACCCCTGGGGATGAAAGATCATGAGCCAGCCCTGCCTGGCTCTTCTGCCTCCCCACCTCAACTTGGACTGTCTTCTCCAGCTCTCCCAGCACCAACTTGCACTCCCAGTAATAACACGGACTGTTGCTGCAGCAGCTTTTGCCAATATCACTTTGGCATGCCACCAGCATTTTCTTCATCTACCCCATGGCCATTGTGACCAATACCTGTATCAGCAAAACCTAAATGTGGCACATCAGCTGCAGGTGCCTCCATCTGCACAGTGTGGAAGGGATGTAGGATCTCCCATCTCCCCACCTGCTCAGGCATGTGAAATACACTCCTGAGACATGGCTCTGCACAGCACAGACAGCTGAGATGTTTCCTGTAGGTCATTTCTGTATCTTCCTGCTTCTCTCGTGCTGTGGTTACACTGGCTGTGCTTTCTTCAGGGCTTTCCACACCACTTGCTCTGCCTGGAACTGTAAGCCACCAGTGTTTTAGCTCCTGACTTTTGGGTCAAGGGTTATGTTTTGCAAGTTATACTCTGTGTCAGACCACATTAGGAATTGCTTTGCACCCATTTTCTCTAAGCTGTGTTTTTTCCTTCTTAAAGATTACAGGGTAATGACTGCAGTTAATTGTTCTGTGTGCCACATGGCATTTGTGACCTTTGAAAAATATCTGCAGTTGCCTATTACACCGACTAGTTGGAAGAAAAATAAGGGACCAGGTTGCTAATACTGTTAAAATAAAAGCTACAGTTGAAAGCTGCAATTCAGCTGTTAGGCAAAACAGGCTCTGATGTGCTGTTCTCTTATGCTCTGGCAGAACATTAGCTATATAACATTATATATAACATTAGCTATATACCTACATATAACAGCTGAGGGTAGGGTATGGCATGGAATGCATGTGCTTGTGCCAAACTTAACTTTTGTCAGCCATCAAAAAGTCACTGTCTGGAGAACCCCAAATTCTGCCAAACCAGCAAGCTTGAGTTGGCTAGAGAACATACTGTATGAAAAAATGGGATATTCCATCTCAAGCTAATCTTATTTCCCCCATCTATGTTGAACAATGGAAACATTGAGTGCAGAATACTTTACCACGAGGGGGTTATGGAATAAGAAAGCACTGAGACTTTTTACTCATTTCCCTACCTGGGAGTTTTATGGGATAGTGCATAAGTTAAAGCTCCTCAGGGGAAGCTATAGCTTGTACTCTTGTATTCACACTGGATTTTCTGCAACCATTTACTACAACCTTCAGTAAAGTCAGTCAGGTAACCCCAGCATCACATGGTACATGCTGCACTTCAGGGAATTTGTGTAGAGACACACACTGTGGCCTGCACCAGGAGAGGACTGCATGTGCTGGCTGATCTGGTAGCTTTCAGTACATGTTTTCACCTAGCTTTTCTTTCTGCATATCTCTTTCTTTTTGTATCTGAAGTGCCTTAATTGGTGGTACAAGACTGGGAGAGGCAAGAGCTCTAGGCAGATGGTCAGTGGGCTCTGAAAGTGTCCTGTAACTCCCCAGCTAATATTTCATGCCCTTTCTTGAAGGACCACTTCTTGAGGCCATACAGGCTGTAAGCTTTTAGTGGCCTGGTTGGTCCTATGCTAATTCTTTGAATAATGAGCTGCTTGCTGCCTCACATGCTTCTATCCTCCCCAGAGCAGTTCACTGAGAGACCTTCTAACACTGTAGGAATAATTCTGTGGACAATGTATGGCTATATGGTATTTTATAATTAATTTGGCTAAGAAGCAGGAAATTTTTCAACTTTAACTTGCTCGGAACTGAGGTTTTATTTGTCTTTCCAAAAAATTGATCGCCAAAGCAGACAAACATGAAGGCTAAAACACAAGCTTCAGCGTGCATGTCAAAGGATACCATTATCCACACCAGAAAAGATGATGGACTCGAGAGAAGGGCAGGACTCAGAGCTATAAACACAGGGCAAAGCTGTGACATTTGCTGCACTGTGAGCCTTTACTTACTTTCTCTGCTTCAGTTTGTAAAGAGCTTAGAGTGAAAGCTGTTGCATGTTGAATGCACAGCAGCATCGCTAATGATTTTCGGGACCATTGTGGTCAGCCTTTCTTCTAAGAGCAAGGGAAATAGCCTAAGTGCGGTCATCTCCTTTCTTCTCGGAGATGGTTACCATTTGATGTAATGGCAAATATTATCCTATCTGTTCATCTCTATAAAGGAAGTTTTTACCCTTACTGAGTTCTTACTTTGTACAGTGTATAACTGCTCATAGTCAGAATAACATCTAATGTTTTCTGCTCCTGCACAAATCATTTTTAGTGTTTGGTATACAAAGTTACAGGCTTCAGGGAATGCCAGGTTCACAGTGCCCCATATAGCCATTAATACTTCCTTCCAAAATTTATTATTCTTTAATCTCTCCCTTAATATATGAATTAGTGTCCCTATTGGAAATTCCTCATTTTACTGCATATATCATTTCAGTTTTTGAAATTCTACAGTACTACTACTGCCGAAAACTTATTTTAGGTATTCTGAGTCAAATCTCCATTTTTATGGGGTTAACAGTAAGTCTTTTGCTTTGAGGTACTGCTGCAATTTATCATGCTTGAAGAAAAGTAAAGGTTACTCTCCCCAGAGGTACCCACTGTTTTGTGAGAAAAGTGGGATATTGGGAAGGGAATGTGAAAAATTCTGGAGCTTCAGAGGGCTTCCCTTAAGATTATTCATTAGCTTTGTGAGAAGGCAAAGCAGGGCACTGGAACGGATTTTATCAATTGTTCCTTGCAAGGTAGTCTGAGCTGGTGGAACACTTTTAAACTCTTAAGCTGGTTTCTTTCATCGTCATCTGTTAGTGCTCTAAGAGCGCCCTGTTACTGTAGGACAATAGATTAAAAGTAGTTTATGGTTATTTTCAAATGTTGAGATGTGTCTACTTTGAAACCTACTCCAGGAA